CATTTGTTGACAGAAGTTTCTCTTCCACCCGGTCCCACAGTTGTTCAGTCCCAAAGAAATACACAGAAGTCTACATTAATCATAAACTGGTTGGCCTATTAATTCAGGCTTTCTTATTAATTAATTCTTACATTTTAACCCATAATTCTTGTCTGTGTTAGCCACGTGGCTTGGTACCTTTCATCAGCAAGGCATTCTCATCTGCGTTCTCTATGTCTGGGTGAAGACTGCAGTCTGAGCTTTTCCTCTTCCCAGAATTCTCCTGTTCTCAACATTCCACCTCTACTGCCTGCCTCTCTACTGGCCAATTAGCTTTCTATTAAAAATAATACAAGTGACAGGATAAAAGACGATTGTCCCACGCAACTGTGTACGTGCATTTAGTTCTGTGCTGATACTTTGTCAATCCTAGCCACCACCACAGTCCGCTTAGAGTCCATTCTCTCCAGCTCAGAGCCGGCTGGGCTCTGTTTTGCTTCTGTTTTCCCTGTGTTATTTCTTATCTCACAGGAACCACACTGGCATCACCTCTTTCCCGATGTCTGAAAACAGTTTTTTCATACATTTGCTTGGCCCTGTACTTACCAGAAGCAACAATTCTTCCTGTGCAAGCTGAAGCTGCCTGAATCTTGGTTGAAATTGTGGGTTTGTTTTTTTTTAAATAATCAAATTTACTAAGATGTAATTTACAAACAAATATATATATATACACACATATACATACACACACATATATGTGTCATATATATATATATATATATATATATATATATATATATATATATGAGACAAGATTTCTTTGTAGCTTTGGAGCCTGTCCTGGAACTAACTCTTATAGACAAGGCTGGCCTCAAACTCACAGAGATCTGCCTGCCTCTGTGAGATCTTCCTAGTGCTGGGATTAAATGCATGTGCCACCACTGCCCAGCTCATTCATATACAGTAATATGCCAGAGTTTAGGCATATAGGTTGTTGGCTTTGACAAATGTATGCAACACATAATCACTGCCTCTTTTCGCCCAGAATCTCCCTCTTCCCTTTCGGCAGTCAGTCTCCGTCTGCACCTCTCTATCCAGGAAGCCACTGAACTAATCTCTGTTGCTGCAAGTTAACTGTGCCTGTGACAGTATTTTGAATATTTCACCTCCCCATCCAGGAAGCCACTAAGCTGATCTCTGTTGCTATGGATTATTTGTGCCTGCTATAATATTTCGAATGATTGGAGCCAGTTTCCCGTTTGTATCTAGCTCCTTTCATCAACTTGGTGTCTGAGGGATCCATTCATGGGGTTCATGCATCGCGTTTTCTTTATTACTAAGCAGTATCTCGTTGTGTGAATGAATCACAGTTTGTTTCTGAATTCGCTGACTCACTGGCCATTCAGCTTGTTCCCAGGTAGGGCCTGCCATGGAAAAAGCTGCCGTGAGCAGGCTTATACAGGTCTTTTGGTGCACTTAGCCTTTCTCTTGGTTAAATCTCTAGAAACAGAGTTCCTAAATCTTGTCTATGTGTTAAATTTGACAAGAAACTGCCACACTGGTTCCCCAAATGGTTATATAAATTACATTTAAATAGTCAATCCATGACAGCTTCAGTTTACAATATCCCCCCAGCATCTTTGTCTGCGAAGCCATCCTTGCTGTCTGTGTTAGGCTGGCAGTTGAGATGGGGCATCTCTCTGTGGGTTTGATCTGGGATTCCCAAAAGCTCACCACACTGAGCATACATACCCATTTTCTCATCTCCTCTTGCATACTCCTTTAGATTGTTTGTTCTGTCCTTTGTCCATTTTGGAATGGGGCTGTTGACGTCGTCATGCCAACACTGTTTGGGCCGTTGCACACACAGGCTCCTTGTAAAGTAAGGAGGCTGCTGGAGCATCCTCCAGAGCTGGCACACCATCCCTCTTCTCTGGCAGTGCACTTTGAAAAAAAGGAGATTTGCTACCATTTGATACAGTTTATTAACTTTTACTTTTATCTGTTTTTGTCTACTTTCGATTATTTGCCTAAACCTATGTTTACAAAAACATTTTACTTTCTCCCTTGTAGAAATTTTGTAATTTTAGCCCTTAAATGAAGACATAAAGTCCCTCTTCTTCGCTGTCCTCATTTGGTAAAGCACAAGGATTGAGGTGAATTCTTCAACATGGGTACCGATTCCTCCAGCACACCCTGCGGGGAACACAGCCTTCCCCTCGTTGCTGATGTTTCTGTCAAAAGCAAACGAACTAGATGTGCAAGTCTTTTCTGAAATCTCTTTTCTGTCTGTGGTCTTGCATGTTGACTTTTATTCTGGCACAGTACAATCTTGCTGTAGCTTTAGAGTAGGTGTCTGGAAGTCACACAATGTTGGTCTTCTTTGTGCTCCCATTTAAAAGTTATCTGACCATCATCAACCTTTTGCATGGACATTTCAAATTTACAGTTAGTTTTTCAATATTGACCAGGAAAAAATAAAAGTCTGTGAAGATTTTGATGGTGATTGACTCTGTAAATTATCATGAGAAGAGCAGACAGCCTAAAATTCTCCACATGGTAAGGTTTTCCATGCCCTGTAATCACTGAGTCTTTCTCTGTGGGTGGTAGCCAAGGCATGATCCTGGAATGATAATTTCACACCTGCCGCTGTTATGCCCAAATCTGCGAAGTCCCCCAAAAGCCAACAAGGAGACCGAGTCCCGTATGTAAAAGCAAAGAGCCTTTATTTTATGCAAGTTTGCAAACTCGGTCTCTCCACACGTCCAACGTATTAGAATAAAAGAAGAGCCCCCGAGCTCAGTTAGAGTTGGGATTTTATAGTAGTAAAGGTGGGGGTGAGGGGTTTCTGAGGTTCAGGGCCCCTGATTGGCTGACATTTTCTAGGGTGTCCTGGTGCAGGTATGCTGGCAGGTGATCTTATCTACAGTGGTTGGAACGTTGTCTGTTCTTGGGTGGTGCTCAGGTAATCTTAGTTTATGGTTTTTCCTGCAACCAGGTATGGCTTCAGGATAAACCACTGCGACTCAGGCCTCCATTAAACTTATCGATGGCTGAGTCCTACTCTGGCAGGTGATAATGGTTGGAAGTTAAGAACTTCCTTTGTGTGATCGGTTCATATCTAGCTTTTCATGGCTGACTCCTACAACCACCACCATCTTCCTTGACTCTTTTATTTCTTCTCCCTGATTAGACTGGACAAAGTCTCCATGCTTCTGGCCACTCTGTGTATAAGAAGTTTCCGCTCACTTTAAAGCTTCAGTCTTACATGCAGGTGAGACCTTTCCTCCCTGCGCTCCAAGGATGTGGAGGAAGAGGAAGAAGGGTGATGTCTTGTCATTCTCCTCCTCCCATTGTTGGAGTAGAGTGGGGAACACTGTGTGTGTGTGTGTGTGTGTGTGTGTGTGTGTGTGTGTATACATGTTCGTGTGTATGTACACCGAGGCCAGAAAGGCATTAAGTGCCTTCCTCAGCAACTTTTTGCCTTTTTTTTTTTTTTGAGACAGAATCTCTCACAGAACCTATAATTCATTAATTCAGCAAGGCTAGATGGTTAGTGAGCTCCAGAGGTCTCTCTGGCCCCTCCTCTTCCGGTGGTTTGGTTACAGGACTGCATCACCATGCCTGGCCTTTTTGCATGGGTATTGCCGGTCCAGACTGAGGACCTGAGGCTTGTGTGGCAAACACTGAGCCATCTCCCAGCCCCAAGGCACTCTTTGTTAAGCTTCCATTCCTTCCCTTGTCTTTCTAACCCAGCCAGCAGGGCTTGTTTCTTGCTGCTGCTGTTGCTTGGGGCTTTACTCTTTCTCTGCCACTGTTGTGTGCCCGGGTTGCCTCTGTTTTAAGAAGTGCGGCTTTCTGGAGGAAGCTCATCTTCACCCAGATCCCTCAGGCCGGGCTCATGCTTCCAGCTCCTCTCTGTTGAAGCATTTCTCCTCCCACAGACCATGGGTACAGCACGGTTTCTGCTCCCGCATTTGGCCTCTGTGCCTCCAACGCGTTCTCGTGGGGACCAGAGGATCACGAAGCACACCACACTAAGGGCCCTTCATAGGGTTAGTTCCGCAAACTTCTCTCCATCAGCAGTTTCTCAAGATGACACACAATTTGTGTGAGATGCCACAATGTCTTCAGCTGGGAGGGGGCACAAAAGTACGGCATGATTTATCAGCTTTCCTGATGGGGCAGTAGAGTGTCAGTCTACCCTTACGGGGCACCCCACTTTCTGTCCTGCACCCTATTTGTTTAAATCCTGGAGATGAAGAAGGTATGCCATAGGAAAGCTCTGAGAAGGCATTATTCCTCACTCAGAGCCTGAGAACCGGTCCTCCCTCTCTCGTCTCCTCAGTAATCTCTTTAAATAGTTTGTTTGCAGGGTGGTGACTGTGGTCATAGGGGCTGCTTAGCCACCTTTCAGAAACCCTGAGAGGATTACTGGGCCCCAGTGTTGCTGGTCGTCTTTAGACTGTGGAATATTACTGCCTCATATTTCCAGAAGGATCCCCAAAAAAACAACAGTAGCCCCGCCCAGTAGCTTTTTCTATAACCAATAGTTCAACTCTACTCTCTGCTGCAGTGATCCAAACATGAAGACAAAAGTTCATTTCTAAAAAAAAAAAAAAAAAATCGCTTCATCTAATGCTATGTCCAATACTTTGCAAATCTAAATAAACTTCAAAATGCACTTAAGAAGGTTAGAAGTCTGGAAACACTCAACATTGGGTGCAATAATGTAGGATAAGCAAATCAAATGCCCTTCAGTGCAAAGTGGGCACAGGCGTGAGAGGGAAGACAGGGTGCTTTCTTTTGGTTTCCAAGAAACAGGAAAGAGGGTGGGAGATGGGAAGAATGCCGGGGTGGGGGTGTAGAAGAGAGGAGGAGAGAGGTGGAAAAGAAGAGAACGGTGACAAACAGTGAGGGACTCTTTGCTTTCTTTCATTCTTGGCTCCCATGGTCACGGCGAGGAGCGCTGCAGGCCTCTCTGGGGAGGGCTGGAAGTTGGCAAGCTTCCTTCATTCTCAAAGCACGTTAGAGATGTGGCCTCTTCAAGAGGGACTGACTGGTACCCAGGGCTTGAGGAGGCGGCATTCCTAACCCGGGGAGACAGGAAAAAGCAGAGAGCCCTCAAGTGTAGTTAACACTGTGCCAGTGGCCCTCTTCCAAGCTGCCTCCTCCTCTTGCACCAGCTCTTCTTAATGAAGAAAACAAGCACAGTAAAACAGACCTAGCCTACTGCAGCCCAAGAAACGAAGATTTTCACAGTGATAACTGGGTTTGCAGGTAAGTGATGCCTACCTGGTTCTCTGGTGACGCTTTAGTCTGTACTTGAGAGTCTAAATCAAGCTGATTTACAATAGTCTCTGAAGTTGAACTGCCCTGTGTATGACTGTGTCCCCTTCCTTAATGCTAATCTTACTTTAATGAATTATTACCACTATGGCCTTGGCAGGAGCAACCGCCTGCTACCCTGCACACATTCTGTGCTGAAGCCCTGAGGTGAGTATTGGGAGAGACCCAAAGGAGAAAAAAGGTGTGTCCCCTTTATGGGAGTGTTCCTGGATTTAAGGAGGTGGAAGGGTGGGTTTTGAGATCGCAACTTCATCTGATGAGGCAGTTTGGAGTTCAATAAAATTCGGTTTCAAACTAATTGGCGACCAGTCACCAGAGACCAGCATCTTGGCTCTTTTAGGTTGGTTGTGAAAGACACGCGCTTCACTGTCTGCAACCATGAAGAGGATGGACAGAAACATGGCGAGGGGACCACTGTACAAGCAGTTCGACTCGGAGAGGAAGAATGCCAGGCGAGCTGAAGCCAGACTCAGCCTGAGCCTGCAAAGGCTAGAGGTCATCTGCCTCTACCACGTGAAGACGCTGGCCAGGGAGCAGAGACAGCTTCAGAAAGAACTGCAGCGGTTGCAGCAAGGTGAGGCCCTGTCCCAAGGGGCAATCTGCTTCTAATCTGCCCTGACTTCCAGAAGTAAGGAGCAGTCTACCCCAGAGGGGGTGGAGGGGGGTGATAGCAGCCTCCATCTCACTGAGAGAAGGGAAGAAGAGTGTTTGCCTCACACCAGGGTCCTTCAGGGTCCTGCATGACCAGTAGAACAAGTGTCTCTACCTCCCATGTATTTAAGCAGGCCTAACTATCCTGGTCCTTCACCCTGTCCCCAAACTCCATAGCTTCTTCTGCTGCTTGGTTCCCAATCTTCCCCCAGGCTTCCATCATTGTCCTGTTTCTAATTTGCGCTCTCTCTCTCTCTCTCTCTCTCTCTCTCTCTCTTTCTCCTTCCTTTCTCCCTTCCTCTTCCCTCTCCCCTTCTTTGACTCTTCACACAGTGCTCTCTTCCCTCTCTCAGAGCTGATTTTACTCCTTCATCATCACCGCCTTTCTCCTTGGGATCTAGTGGCCATTTATTGACCAGCGAAGGAAGGAAGGAGCCACTTCCCTTGCCCATGTTATAAGCGAAATTTAAAAAGGAAACCAGAAACCCTTTCTCTGGGATTCTGACCTCTGATGAGGAATAGGAGTGGTGATGCCCATCCTGTGAAATTATCTGAGCTCTCAGTGCGAATTTGGCACAAACCTAAGCACAAAGCATTTGCTTAGGGTTTGACAACTTTTAATTACTCAGATCAGCAATGCAAAGTCATCTCAGAGTGAAAGTGCTCCTGCTGTCTTGCTGGAAACGGGTTCAGTTGTGTACCTTGTAGAAACCAGCGCGCCTCGTTTTCTTCGTCAAATAATTAGGTCTCAACATTCCTTCAAAATTACATGGAGTTGGTGAATTCAATTTCTCAGGACATTCCCCCTGACTTAAGGCAGGTGCCAGAACTAACTCAATATTGTGTTTCATGTGATAGTCATGCCTCTTGCCTGGTCCGGTGCCCTCATTCCCACTGCCTCATACATTCTAACTTCAGTAGGATGCTTCTCAGAGGGAAGTGGCCTGGGTCTGTTTGCTGGTGGTTATGTTTGTGTTTGTTTGTTATCCTTGGTTGGGATTTCTGGTTTGGATTTAGTGGGGAGGGGAGCAGATGGCCTACTGCTAGGGATTGAACCCAGGGCCTTGTGCAGGTGTAGCAAGCCATCTACTACTAAACAACACCCCTGGCCTTACCAACTGTGACTTTACACGATTCCCATCCAAACACAAACCAATGCACGATTTAAATGCCTTAAAAAATAGGGTCAGTGTGTTCTCTTCAAGCTATGACTACGAGAGCCCGGAACATCAACTGGGAAAATGGAAAGTCCACTTAATCCTGGCCTCTGGCAGTTACAAACACTTGCCGTGGGTAGAAGGCATACAACTGTAGTAAACAGACAAAATGTCCACACCCAGGTGTTTTCTGTTTTTAAATACTTGCCCTTGCCAAGTAAAACATTCAAACAAAACCCATCAGGACTGGGGCGGTTGCAACATCTGATCCTGGTGTCTAAATCCTCTCTGACACATTCTAGGCAAACAGCAGGAACTACAGGAAGCTTTGCTGTTTTTGTCCATTGTGTCAGAGAAGGGCAACGTGCGATGGGGACCCAGGATGCTCACATGCTAGCTCTCCAAGAGTGAGAGCCCAGCTTTCACTCCCCTCACCTATTAGACTCAATTTCTAGGGCTGCACAGCAAAGTCCCAAATCCCGCACAGCTCAAACCAGAGAACTTCATTGTCTCAACCTCTGAAGCCTTGAAGTCAAAGCGGGAGTGTGAGCAGGGTTTCCTCCGGTAGGAGGCAGGAGCAGGCTCTCTCTTTGGTGCGTAAGGGACAGGTCTACCCCCAACCCTGCCCTCTCTGCTTGTCTGCTCCGACTGCTGCTATCATAAGCATGCCATCACAATGGTCAGGGCCCACCATAATGACCTCATTTTAATTTGATCATATCTATAAAGAACCCAACTCCAAATAGTGTCACAATCTCAAGAACTAAGGACAAGGACCCTAATAAATAAAATTTTCTACAATTCAAGCCACATGAACCCATTTTAAACTTTATTTTATTTGTGTAGACATATGTCTGTGTGTATGTCTCAGTGCATGCATGAGCACATGTGCATGCAAGTGCTGGCCGAGACCAGAAGAGGGTGTTAGATCCCGTGGAGTTAAAGGTGTTTGTGGATCGTGGATGTGGGTGTTGGGCTCCAAACTCTTGGTCCTCGTGGTTGAGCACGGAGCACTCCTAACAGATGAGCCATCCCTCCAGCCCATCTTTTGTTAATTATGCCACAGCAGATATCATCAAGAAAAGGTTCTCCTCTTATGCCAAGAATGGAATTCAGAAGAGACCAAGAGATTCTCTCACGTTCTCACCACAAACAGGACAGAGGCACGTAGCCACGCAGTCTAAAATCAGGTAAGAAGATTAGTAAATGACTCCCATGTGCCAACCAAGCTCTTTAAAACATTCCCCTCCATGTAAGGAGATGCTGCCATCTCCTTCCGAGAGAGATATACCTCTGCCCCTCACCCTCCGCCACTTCACACCCACATTAGCTCCTCAACAAAACTGCCACACATACACACGTACACACACGCACACACATGCGTGCATACACATACACACATGCACACACGCACGTACACGCATATACACACGTACACACACACACACACACACACACACACACACACACACAGTCTAGTAAATGGAAAGGCCTAAATAGGAGACCCTTCATTTTCCAATGACATTTCTTTCTTTCTTTTCATCCCTTCTCCCGCCTCCCCAGGATACCGCCAACCAATATGACCCAAGAAGCTAAAACTAAGATTCATGGGCCCTCTTTACCTGACACTGCCCTCAAAGCTGCCCCGAGAAGCCAGGATCACCTGCAATCCCAGCGTGACAGCACCAGCTGCTACAAGGAAGAGTATTCAGGAGCCCAGGAGGGAGAGTCTGCGAAACCACTTAAGGGCACGGACTCAAACAGAAATGTCCCTGTCCCGTGTCATGGTCAAGAGGTTTCCATCAACAATACAGAAGACAGCCCTGTGTCCAGCCCAGATGGTGCGAAGGGGTTGGCACCTGCAGATGAGACTAGATCAAAAAATGCCGATCCAAAGCCCCACGAGGATGCTGGGGAGCAAAATGCCCCATGCTCTGTGGAATGTGCAGGAAGCTTCAACGGCAAGTGCGCAGAGTCAACCTTCCTCGAGCTGTTGGCAAAGGCCAAAGAGGCCCACTATCTCCGCCACAGGGTGCCCCCCGAGTCCGAGAGGATGCTTAGCATTGGGGAGATATTTGGACATGGAGACGCCTCACTACCCAGAGCAGGGGAAAAACTGTGAAAATGGTACCAAGTTTCTTCCTACCTGGCTGTGAAATGTAGTTTGACAATAAGATACCATAATCGCTAAGGAATGTGACCCTCAAATAGCTGCGATAAGCAAGGCACAGAAAGAAATAAGCAGAAATCCAAGACAACTTTCTTCTGCATCCTTAGGGCCTCCTGTCCTTTTATATGATCTTTTTCAGAATAAACTTGCTCATAATAAAGGCTACTATGAAAGGGGGGGAATATTTGAAAATACTTTAAATTGAGAGCCTGAACTTGCTTTGATGGAAACAAAGTCTTGTTTATCCAAAGATCCGTCTCATAGAGGTGCTGCTTATAGCGCCACCTGTTGGCCAATCGGCACAGCTAGTCACCGTGTTTTCCTTTCTTTTAGGGTTTGCATGGGAACCCCACTGAAATTATGTAGTGCTGTGGTCTCCAAATAAAACCTGTTCTTGCCACAGTTCCGTACTCTTTTTTTGAAGCTCCTCTCTCTCTTCTTCCCTTTTTTCTCTTTCCTTCCTTCTTTCCAACCTTCTCTCCCTTCCTCTCCTTCATTTCCTTACTTCCTTTCTTCCTTTTCAAGTAGTTCCAGCTGGATTTCTCCCCGCCCCCGTTTTAACCTTAATACCAAACATTTTTGGATCCTAATGAAAGAAACTAATCTGTGTCCTTTCCTCTCCTCCCAAATCAAAATATCTTAAAACGTCCAGCACACTATAAAAGCTATACCACATCCAGTCAATAACCAACCGTCTCACAGTGAAAGAATAATTTTCATTTAAAAATTGCTGTTTTAAGCTAGGGTGGTGTCACATGTTTATAACCCCGGTATTCCAGTATTTGGGAAGCTGAGGCAAGAGGATTTACAGAGCCAAAGTGAGCTACATATCGAGACTCTGTCTAGAAAAGCTCTCTTAGTAAAACAAAGATCGCTGTTTTAAGTAAATAGGTCTGCATAGCGTGCATCCCACTGTAAATTGATTGAGTAAACTTTGTTTCCCACCCAGATGGTCCAGATTTCACACTTCAAACAAATGATGTCATATGTCATCAGGGAACAACAGCTCACTGTTAATACTTTAATCTTCTGCTCACTGAATACACACCAAATAAAACTGCCCCTTTTATCATATACTGTTTATATTAACTTCGTTAGAAAAACTAGCTTGTAGTTAGAAATCCAAAGTCAGATAGCAACTGTTAAATTCAATTTTTCAACCTTATAGAAAATTTGGAAACCAAAAGAATAAATTCAAGACCTATATAGTTATTTTGGACTTATTTATTTACTTTGAATTAATTTTTTTTTTTGAGACAGGGCTAAGCTATGCTGTCTTGGGTTGGCTCTGAACTCCCACGTTCAGTGATCCTCCTGCCTCAACCTCCTAGTGAGCTGGATTGCAAACTCGTATCCCCAGAACCTGTTTACATTAGGAGAATATATTTGTTGTATTCTAGCTTAAGGCTATCTTGAAGAAACAAAACAATTTATATCAAAAACGATAAAGGACCCAATCTTCTAGTGCTAAAGCTCCTAGGGTTTAAATTAATTTGAATTTAATGACAAAGTATGAATTAATTGCAGTTGCTTTAATAACACAATTTAATTCCCATTTGAGATGCCTGGTGTTTAAATTTATAACTCATAATAGCTCCCAGTTTCCAGCACCTTCTGCCTTCCCAAACTTTCCACACAGCATATCAGTTCCAATTGCTCCTCAGAATTCTGGAAAGAGTTGTCTTTTAGTTCCTGTTTTACAGATGATCAGAGCAAATCAGAATGCATTCTTGGTCTGCACACTGTCACACCTCTGTCACACCCCATCTACCTTGCTGCCACTTAGTTGAAGACAAAAGCATCCCTCAATCTTGCACAATTCAGTCGTTTTAGCCCAGCCTTTGGTCTTCAATGACAAGGCAATAGTTTATGGTTGAAGAAACACAAGAAACCTTCTTTCAGGGTGTTCTCTAACACGGAAGGCAAGTCAGGGACAAAACTGGGTGATTCACAAATTATTTACACTGGTCATAAAGGTGGGGGCTCCCAGTACAGAGAACCCCCTTTACAGAGTGCCCAAGTATTGGAGAGAGAGATGATCTCTTCCTGCTCCCTGATGAGAAAAGCTTTCCCAGAATGCCTTCTAGATAGAGAGATCTAATAGATGTGGAGGGCATCTATTACCGTCTTATCTGAATGCCTTCTGTGTGGAGGCATCTATTACCATATTATTTGAATGTCTTCCATGTGGAGACATCTATTACCGTATTACCCAAATGCCTTCTGGTGGAGGCATCTATCACCACATTGCCCAAGCAGAGGCATCCGGACACTCAGAGAGGTGATGACTGGACCTCTTTCCTCAACCCACTCTAAGCTATAACACAGGTGCTCTATCAGTTCTGCAAGGAAGCCTTAAAGCTGACCAAGAATAATAAAAAGCGGCACCTAAGAGACCATGGCTCAGTGGGTAAGGAGTTTGCTGTGCGAGCTTGAATACCTGAGTTCAGATTCCCACTATCCACACAAAAGCCGGGTGTGACCAAACACATCTGTGATCCCAGCACGGGGTGGGGGTGGGGCAGAGACAGCTAGATCCCAAGGTCTCATTGGTCATCAGGTCTGCCAGAAATGGCAAGGCTCGGTGGGGGACCATGTCTTGAAAAGTAAAGTGGAGAAGCAATCGAGGAAGGCTCTGGGCATCTGCTTCTGGCTTCCACTCCCTCCAGCCTGAATAAACATGTCTGCACACAAGTGACACCTAGTGAATGAACAGATGCAAAAATAAAGTCTTCAAAGCAAAAATGCAAGGACATATCAGGCCAATAGTTGTAGACAGAAGTTTCTGTCCCACCCAGTACCACAAATGTTCCGTCCCAAAGAAACACACAGAGGCTTTTATTAATTATAAACTGTTTGGCCTATTAGCTCGGGTTTATTATTAACTATGTCTTACAGCTTAAACTAACCCATAATTTTATCTAGGTACCTTTTCTCAGTGGAGCATTTTCATCTCGCTTCCTCTGTGTCTGGATGGTGACTTCAGACCAAGACCTTACTCTTCCTAGAATTCGCCTAGTCTGGTCACACTACCCATACTTCCTGCCTGGCTACTGGCCGGTCAGCTTTTTATTAAACCAATACGAGTGACAAATCTTTACAGGGTACAAGAGCATTATCCCACAGCACTTCCCCTTTTTTTCTTTTCAAAACAAGAATTCTCATCACTTAGCTTTTTCCTCATCATTATCCATAACAACTTGTAACCAACAAGAGTAAATGAAACTGATGACAGCTTCCCTGGGAGCAAAGCAACCATTCTGTTTCCACCTTGCTGAGCTGAGACTGTTCAGTTTTGAGGTGGAGAGGCAGATGCTGAGTCCCATTTACTATCAAGACTACAAGAGTTATTAATACTTCAAGGTTGAGGCCAATCTGCCTATGTGAGACCCTGCCCCAAGAAATTTCCTTACCCAAAATTTAAAAACAACAACAACATTAATTTATCACACAGTTCTGCTCTCACTTGTGGGTTAGAGTAGGGATCACTTGAGAACTGGACATAATATGAAACACACCCTATGCTTCCCACATTTCCACCCCCACTATGATCAGGATGCTGCCAAGTGTTCTGATAACAGCCATCAGTCAATCGAGTATAAATTAACTTCAATATAACTAGTCATGTTATTTTAGAATGGCTTGAGTTCAATTCTGTAAAATTTGTTCCATGGAATTGAACTACAGGGAAATCTAATAAGACTCTAAATAACACATATCTACTTGACCTATCATGACATGAACACTGTCATTGCCGTGGTCATAGAAGGGAGAAATTCTCTTTTCACAATTTAATCTGAGATGAAGAGAAATGTGCAGAAGCTATGCATAGGGAATAGTTCACTGTACAATCAGCAATGGGAAACTGAATGTATGTTTGTGCTGGGGACTCTTTGCCTATGTTGACGTGGGAGGAGGCAAATGATGCTAAGCTAGCCAAACTGACACACCTCACGGCTGGTGGGAGGGGGACAGGCAGCAAGCAAGTGCATTCCTGCTAATCTTCAGCTATTTCCTTCTTAGCTTCCCCTTGGACTCCAGAAAACAGGAAGCTATGATGAGAATGCCCATTGTGTCTGGCAATGGTCCTGTTATTTTTAAATTTAGTTGTACAGGGGACTGGTGATGGATCAGCGGTTAAGAACCCATGTATGAGGGAGAGATGACAAGGTCTCTGTCTCCTCTCCCTGATGAAAAGAAAGCTTTCACCCTTACTCTGACTACTCAGAAAGGTCACAGTATGTGCTCAGAAGCTCTTAGTGGCAAGCCTCAGAAGCAGGATGCAACCCGGAGCCCTGGCCTTTGCCCAACCCTGCCACATTCATCTACCCAGCAGGCTCAGAAGGCCTGTGTCCAACCAGCCCAGTGGCCTCCTGAAGTTGTGGAGGCGGAGAAGGGAGCCAGACACTGACAGACCATGAAAGCTGAGGGTGTTGATCAGGTTCATAGGAGAAAGGGAGGAGATTCGGAATTAGAGACAGGAAGGGATTTAGAGAATATATGTAAGGGCTAGAGAGCCGGCCCAGCAGTTAAGAGACTGGCTACTAGAGCACCAGGTCTCTGTTCCTAGCAGCCACATGGCAGCTAACAACTGACTGTACTTCCAGTTCCAGGGGATCCAACTCCCCCTTCTGGCCTGTGGGGCACTGCACACACATGGGCCACAGACGTACATGCAGGCAAAGCACCCACACACATAAAGCAAAAATTTAAAAGTAAACAAATAAATGAAATTTTACATATCCATGGTATTTTTCTTATGCTCCATTTCCTTAGGGAATATGACCATGTCATGCATACGTATGTGTGTGTGCGCGCGTGCGTGCACACACACACACCCCTTTCTTTGGGAATATAAGCAAAGAGAAGCACCCCACAGTTACACAATGGCTCACTAGAGGTGTTCACACCAGCAAAGTGGTGGCTTGCCACAGGCCAGCGGGAGGTGATTGTTTCAGTACCTGTGGGTGAATGGTGGTCCTAACACAGTTTGGATTTGGCTGCTCTTGCTATACAACCCAAGATAGTCTCAAACTCGGAGTCTTACTGTGCAGCCTCCTGAATGCTGGGGTTATTCTCTAGTCACAATTACATTTGGCAGCCAGACTTTATTTTAAGTTCCAGAAAATTTTGGTACAAATTTGCCAGCGTTTTCATTCAGACCCGTCTGAAATAATAAATTCAGTGTAAGTTGGGTCCTAAATGGAAAGAAAAATGAGGCAGATAAGACTTGGATGAGAAAGAACAGTGTCTGGAGAAGATATATAGGAAGAGAACTGGCAAGAGCAGAGCCTGGCTGCTTCTCCAGGGAGCTCCGAGGACACAGGACAGGTCACATCACTGTTGACACCATCCCCGGAAAACAGAGAACCGCAGGTGTGAACTGGCTGTCCCCAGTAGCTTGTCTCTGCAGAAGCACTAC